TTAAATAACATTGATTTAATACATATATTTCTATCTTTTTGAGCACAACCAATGGACTAGATAATTATATCTATACAATTATATATATTTATATCTACTGGATATTTACTTATTTTCAAAAAAATTAAATACGACTATTTAGATATTAAAGAAAAATATTTATATTTTGTATTTAAAAATAATTTACCTAAATTTAAACATTTATAACTATCGTTTTAAAGAATATTTTTAGTAATTTATAGGCAAAGAAATCCAAATTACTGGCGAATTTGAGCATGGTTTTATACAAGCCATTCAAATTATGAGCACGAAAACGTGTTAAACAATTAATGATATCTTTGTTTTTGACAAAAATTTCCTTCGTTTCCCTTCGTGGCTGTTGTATAACGACAGAAATATGCGTTAACCGGCGTGCGACTTCGTCCTCTGTAACCTTCCCTCCAACACATACAAGTAAATGTGTTGCGGAATTCTTTACGAAATTTCCCTAAAATTAAGGTAAAAAAATTTAATTTCATATCAACGACCTTCCTCTTTTCAAATTTACAAGTGTTTACGACTTCAGTTTATAACCTACCACTCATAAAATTATAAATAAGTGGATTTATGGCGCTGTTGGCGTAACATAGCCAATGGGATATGAGAGATGCCACCGTTGTAGAGTGTGTCTGTGGTAATCCCGTTGTGTACCTGCAAATAAAAATATAATTTATAATAATAATAATTTATAAATGTTTTATTAGAAGATTTATATATTTACCTAAGAGTATTTATAAGATGTACTGGTAAATAACACAAACCAAACATGACAATAACAGCTATAAGCATCTTAGCTGCCTTCCTTCTTGATCTGATTTGTCCTGCAAAAGTTGCTTGTGATGTGGTGTGTCGCAAGGCACCATTTCTTTCAGTTTTCTTTGCTACTTTTACCAGAAATTTTACATTAGTAAGGTTTCATTTTCACGTAATAATAGTAAAAATAACAAATTCTTAATAGAAAGTATGACTCTATTTACGTAATAATAGAAAATAACGAAATTGTAAAATAGGTTATTACGTAACAATGTGTATTTCCCCCCTCGTTTCAATTTTATTAAGTACTGTATTTGTTATTTTTCTTATTACGTAACAGTAGTGCACGATGTAAAACGTTTTTAAATATGCAATAAACAAAAACAACTAATTAGAATTAATTTTTGAACGTTTTAAATTTATCTATAACGATTAAAAAAATATTTATTATAAAAAGTCTTTACAAAAAATAAAAAGTGAATTTATAATAATTTTCATTTAATGTTTAATTTAATGTGTTACAGTAAAATTATCTTACGTTTGTGTACTGAAACTACGGTCGCGCTTGGCGCGCGCAGTTTCAGTACAGTACAACATCAATTCGTTGTACTTAAAGGTTGAAGAAGTTTCTTTTGTAACTTTAATGACATACGAAACTGCTTTAACGGTACATAAAGTTTGTCAATAATCGAACAATTAAGCAATTTGTTGGATAAACAACAACAACATTTAAAAACAATAATTTTAGATAAACAAACACACGAACTCCGTAGAAAGATTTTTAAAGTATAGACGATAAATTAATGGAAATTTATTAAAGTAAATGTAGTAAATTTATTGAAAATTAATCATTCTTTATTATAAATTCTTGGTCGATTAATTTAAGAGTTATGTTTACTTTATCTTCATTAAAAGATTTCTTAATGAATAATTAAACATTTCTCGTTAATTAAAAATATTAAATTTGACAAGAAATAATTTTCATTTAGAAAATAAAAAAAAAATACGCTTTAATAACAGTTTCGAAAGTCAATAGCTTTGAAAAATTAATTTTAAGTAAGTTTCTAATTGTAATTAATTTTAATTACGTTATAAAACTTTATAAATTATTGCGTGTTACTATATGTTTTAGAGAAATGACAGCTGAAATTATAATTTTTTTATGAATTTATTAATAACGGGCAGAAATAAGAGAGTTTAAAATAAAACGAAAGCGAAAAAAGCTGTACCTCGCATTAGATGACATGACTTAAGGTTCCGCGCGGCGCGCGCGCCACATTGCGTAAATATTAAATAACTGCAATATTAATAAGTAAAATATATCTATTCGCGCAGTTTATATTAAATATACAAAATCGTAGACACTTATTTGTATATTTGACAAAAATACAGAAATTTTAGATATTTTTACAGTATAACGTTACAAGTAGAGGATTTGATCCCGGGATCTCGAAAATCGGGATCCCGGGATCCCGACCACTTTTCAGTCCCAAAATTTTCGGGATTAAGTTTTCCTAATCCCGGGATTTTCGGGANACAAAAATTTTTATAAAGAAATTTTATTTATTTATTAAAATTATTTATTTTGTATAAAAAATAATTTTTTACAAAATAAACAACAAATCACAAAAAAATCTTTTCATAAATATTTTTGTATCAATAGTTACATATAAAAAAAGTACTAAAATAAAATTTTCATATATTAAAAAATCTATGTAAATTATATATTACAACATTTAGATAACATATTGATTATGTAGATCCGTCTTAAATGTAAAATAAGCGAAATCTCCTCCCACTCTTAATCCTCTCACCAATAGTTGTTAAATCGATAACATATTAAACCGATCAGCGTCGAGATGTTATAAATATTTGTAGCAACATATCTTAGAAGTATTGCAAAGGACTATTTATGCTCATAAATTTAATTTGTTTAATATTATTTGCTTAATATTGAGTTTTAAATAATTAAAACACAAAATATACAATTAATTGGGAAAAATTGAATTATTTATTAAACATTAATACAATAAAACCCCGCTTAACGATGCCTCGATAACGCTGATTCGATATGACGCAGTCTGCTCGAAGCCTTAAAACAAGCTCAAAATTTGCGTTGATTCAAATTATCGCGGCATTTCATTGAATCCTATATAATACGATTATTCCCGAACACGAACCAATCAGCAAAAGGTGGCATTTCGTCGTAGCGCTGTACTTTCCTTAAATCTATGTCGGTGTGGTCCAATTTTGGAAAAAATTATATCATCAAGGATGCCATATGAAATATCGACTTCTCTTGGCAAGAATTAACTGAAAAATGCATGAACGAAATGTGGAAGAAGTTATGGCCGAAGGTATCCAAGAATTCTCAACCTATCATTGATCAAATCAAGAGAAGAGCCTATCATTGACCAAATTGTCAATCTAATCGATACAGTGGGACTAGAAGATGTAGACGAGCAGGATATTGAGGAGTTACCGCAGGTTTCTGGTGAGAGTCTTACCAACAACGACCTTCGAGAATTGGCAGAACAAGGAATTCGTGTATAACTGGAAAATTCCTTAGTAAAAGTTTGGTAACGATAACCGAAATCGTCGATCAAATTGTAGCGAATGATCCAGATTTTGAAAGAAGTGCAAACGCGAGACGAGGCGTTTTGGATGCGATCTCTTGCTACCGACATTTGCTTAAGGAAAGAAAAAAGCGACAAACGAAACTTCACCACTTTATTGCAAAAAAAAAAAAATTCAGAAAAGTCAGGACCTTCACAAAAAATGAACTTTACATTTCTGTGTGCATATGTTTATGTGTTATTTAACATATATTATTATACAAATTAATATAAAAATAACTTAAAATTAAAGTAAAATCTGCTTTCCCTATTTACTCTGTGTTAAAATGACTTCGTTTAACGCTGTTTCGTTTAGCGTTTTGTCTTCTAGGAACGTTAAGCGGGATCTTACTGTATTAATATTAAGTTAATATAATTAAATTATTTTAGTTATTCAAATTATTATATATAATCATATTTATGTTATTTTAAAGTCGAAATGAACTTTAATATACGTTGTAGACCTATAAAAAGAAATTACTTACGTGATCTGTTAGTAAGTTCGGATTCACCACTTCCCGGAATGTTCTTATTCCAAAGAACTCGAGCAATTTGGTAGTAAAGAACCGACATGAGAGCGAAGGGTGCTACATATAGTATAAGAACAATAACCAACTGATAAATTTGGGTGTTATCGTCGCTCCACGTGTAAGCGCAATCAGTCAAGTAGTGTGTTTCCACTTTTAAACTCGGATGCATTCTCGTATCCAACACAATCACGTCTGGTAATACCAAGAGTAAGGAAGTGATCCAAATGGAAAATATGGCTGCCTTGGCTTTTCCCGCTGTGCTCTTGAACTTGAAAGGATAACAGATGGCATACCAACGGTCGATGGATATGAAAGTGAGCGTAAGAACAGACACTGAGACTGACACGCTCTATAAATAAAAAGATCTGATTCAAGTCACTCGAACATACAAAAATTAGCCATTATAAAATAAAGACAAATTTAAATATTTAAATTCTCTTAAATTTATAGAAAAAATTCTAGACATTTAAAATTTTTACAATACTTTTCTGTAGGAATTTTGAAAGGAAATCGTATCGAAATGCGTTTTAAGATATAATTTATTTTTAAAAATAAATTATTACTGTTTTATTTATATAATTTTATGGACTGAAATTATATGAAATAAGAAAATAAATTCCGAATAATTTATTAAAATAAAGAAAAATTAATAAATCATTAAAATAAAAGAACGTAATGCATTTTATTAACAAAAAAATAATTGAATAAAAATTTGAGACGTGAGTTCATATCTAAATTTTTAAGTTTATATAAGTAAATATCATGAAAAAAAATAGATTAAGGAACAAAATAAGAATTCGTAAATTTTATTAAATATACTCATCACTCTTTTTATTTTTCAGTAAATTCTTTGCACATAGGGAAAAATATATAATTTATAACGCAATTTTTCCAGACTAAATTGATTTTTGGATAAATTAAATAGATATCAAGGACAGAATCTTTATGGAAATTTAAATTTTCGATTGCTATAGTAACGAAAAGATGAATTAAATTTATGAAAATAAACTTCATAAAAATAAGTTTTAAATCAAATTATGAGGAATCGATATCTTCTGTTCGCGTATAGATACATAAATTGATTTTAAAGTATTTTTATAAAATTATTCTTATAGATTTATGTCCGAATTAAATGAAACCATCGAAATAATAATTAAATTATATTAGTGAAGCAAAATTCTTATTTGTTACGCGAAAATATATAATAAGATTTACGAACCTTGGGTTTTTAGCATTTTACACATGAAAACATCATTGTACTTTACAGCATTACGTCTACCAAAAAAGCTGTGGGTTCTGACTCCCGACGGAGAACCGAACCAAGTTTTCTTTATAAATAAATCTTATAGTTAAATCTATTTTTAATTTTTCCGTAAAAAGTACATATTTTAATTAGTTAACATTTTAATTATTCAGAATAAAACTAGTTTTTGTATTTAAATAAATTTAATTAATTAAGTATAATTAAATTACATGTTTAAAGTTATTTTATTACTAATTAAAAATGTTTTTGATATTTGTAGAAGTAATTTTATTGTGATTTATTATTGAGTTATTTATGTAAAAATAATTAAAATATAATTTAATGCTTTTATGGTAAGTAAATGTCAAGGATTCTTACAGAAAGTCTTTTGTAGATCTATAGTTTCTTAAGAATTTGTTTCGATCATGTGAACACGATCCACAATCCTGAAAGATGGTGTACGTTGTCTACAACAGCTGTCCCAGCATTAAAAAATTAAATTAAATAAAAAGAAATCAGATAAGTAAATCGGAGTGTTTTGCTACTAGATAAAAACGCTGTGTTTCTTAACTAGATAGAAAAGCGTGTGTGTGTCATCAAGATGATGTATGATCAAAAAATTAATGCAGTTAGCAAAAATACCGAGTCAGATATGAGCTACAAATAACTAACTCCACGTTTGCTAGTTTTCAATAAAAATTATTGTCTTTCACACTAAAACTAAAGGAAAATAAGGCAAATGAATATATTCTACGCTAGTGAACTTGCACCTTTATAATGGAGGATTTGTTTGTAAAAATAGGACTTGGTTATCGATAAAATATTGCCAAATGTAATTTCTGTACACGCAAAATTTATTTTGCAAATATGCTTTAACAAAATACTGTACTATATTCAGATTGCACTATGCATTATGACGATTCCAAAGCAATGTAGAGAGCGCTGTATAAATTTAAAATGGCGGAAGCAAACAGGGAATGTGATATCTTACGTGTTATTAATGTAGATAGAGGTTAAATAATTAAAATTCAAATTTTTTTAATTGGATTTCAAATAAAATAATTGGCTCTTATTTTCAACTACAGTATTTGTTTTCCCTCATAAAATCGGTATTATTATTCGTAACAAGATTGGTCAAGTCGATCTGATAGCACGCCCCGCAAGAGCGAATCAAATATTAATTTTGTTTAAAATAAATTTAAAAAATTTTTGGAATCGAGTTGTTTTTCAGAAGAATTTTTCATTGAATATACAGTAAGGTTGGAGTCACACTTACAGAAAAACACCACTAAAAACGTAAACTGAAAGCCAAAACCAGAAAAATTTTACCTCCCTCGTCCGTAAAATTTTTGGAAAATCAACTCGAGATGGGCTAGGTGGAAAATTTTTTTCTGGCCGTAAAATGTAGATCAGCGTTTCTCAAAGTGGGCGATAACGCCCCCTTGTGGGCGCTGGAGGCTTTCAGGGGGGCAGTAGAAGGCTCAAAGAGAATTGGGGGGCGTTAAGGAAATATAGAGGGGCGACGGCAGACAAATTCTATATATAAAAATTCGACGGAATATATATTTTTTATTTTTTATTGAAGGTCACAACTTGAATATTTCTAACACATTGACTTTTATTTTAGCTCAGCGTTTCTCAAAGTAAGCAATAACGCCCCCTTCTGGCGCGATGAATAGATCTATGATAGAGGCAGGGTATTGAACGGTGACCAAAGGCAAAATTGGGGCTGATAAGAGGAAACATTGCGTTTAATGGTTTCCAGATGATGAGAACAATGTACAGTAAGGGCACAAAGTGTGAGATTCATAGAAAAGTTTTCCTAAGAATATTTCCAATCCTTTTCTCACACAAGAGAAAATGGGTTAGGGGGCGTTGGGTATAACTTTATGGAACAAAGGGGGCGGTGGATCGAAAAAGTTTGAGAATCACTGATGTAGATGTAGATGTTGACCAATCAGATCACTGGGAGTGATGACGCGTTTATAACGTCAGTGACGTGGCTGCTGCGCTGCCCGAGGCCAAAAACGAGAAACCGCGTGAGCTGCCCAGCGGCCATTTTTACAGGTGTCGATAGTTGCGTCGCTGCTTCAAAATCATGGAAACTCAGAAAGAAAAAAGTCAAAAGTAACCGAGAACCACGTTTAGCTTGAATTGGCGGGAGCCGGAATGAATGTAGATATAGTGCTGCTAGTATGAAATAAAAGAATTGCGTGTGAAGAAATGATATATATATTATAATAATTGCAAATATACTTTATTGAAGTTTAGAAAGAATATAAACACATTTGTATATAAAAATTATTGTGGCCCACCAGTGGTGGAGTGGATAACACTGCTATAAACTGGTAATTGGTCGTTGTTTTGCATCAGACTAAGGGATTGACCACATGGAGTTTTCTGGATTTTCTTCACGTATGTAGCACCTAATTAGGGACAATTTCCCGTAGAAAGACGTCAGAAAGGTACTCTTATTTTCTGATCCCTCGTGTTGCGTTGTCTTATCCCATCAATACAATCTACGATAAAATTTTACGATAAAATTTGAATTTAACATATACTGACAATTTTCGTATAACGTGGAATTTCTATAACATGGCTTCCCTTTAGCACGGCTAAAGAATTGCAACCTGTTGTAATTTTTGTAATTTTGACATGTAATTTGTGTAATGATGTAGTTTTTTTTGACATTTTTATTTTTTCAGCGAATCCCCATTGTCGATCCGCTTGCTGTTTAAAAAAATGGGAAATCTCACAATTTATTCTGTTGGGGAATTCCCTGATAGGTTCTATGCTACAGAACTTTTGCTTGTTAGAGACCATTAAATAAACTATTTGACAACGAAGAGTGCTGTTTGTGATTTTTAAGATTTAAAAAGTGCTATTTTGAATTTTGTTTGATCGGTGATTAATTTTTTAAAGTGTTTTTTCTTAAGGAAGTAAATTTTTTATAAAGGATTATACTGGAATAATTTCTCTGTTATGGTAATGCTGAATTCAAGTAAAAACAGCACTGCTGAAAAAAACTATTTTTCTAAAATCAAATATGTAAATTTTGAATTGTGTTGAAAAAGGAAGTATCATACGTTGCACAAGGTTCAAATTTAAATTATACGACAATCCGGACTGTAAAAAATGAAAATTAGAATTGTTGTTGCTGCAGGATCTTCTGTTCCTGCAAACTCGACAGATTTTTGTTAGCTTTCGAACATAGTTCGCTTTTCCTAACGGCATTTAGTCTCGTATAACTTGATTTCGTACTACACAAAAGTTAATAGTAACTTCACAACTATGTTATACGAAATCGCTTGTCTAGAAACTTGGGTTTGATAAGTGAATCTTAAATATATGGACAGAACTGACGGGATGTGCAACGCAACACGGGCAATCTGTCTTCCGGGAAGACTTTCTATGAGAAACTTGCTTAGAGCCATAGCAGTAGGGGGCTATGAGGTGCTAAGCTGGGAGAGCTTAGCACCTCATAGATCTTAGTCAGTAGTGTCTATATGTAGTATATGTAATATATATTTTCGCTTTCATCACGTAAACTTGGGCTACTGTTTTTTACACTTAGACTGTAGCTAATAGGCCGAGTGTTGACTGATACTAGTCAGACTTTTTACAGCTTACTTCTACAGCCCCCAATGATTTATTCCTTGCTACAGGATTAAACTGGTCCCTTTTTAAAGACACAAAAAATAACGTCGGCCGCAACCTCTCTATTCATTATTAACGGTTTCTATCGCGCAATCTGCATTAGAATATTATTTTGATACGCATTAATGTTACTGTCCAAAAATTTGTTAGCAATATTATTTAATACTATAAAGTGTAGAAGGCTTGAAAGTGGCACGTATCAATTGCTTGATATTTTGTAGCAGTCAGGGGAGAGACAAGAGCAAACTCTTATTCCTTTTCCCCGTGACTATGCGACATATTACAGTACTAAATAATTCCAATTACAACTTTAAACTCGCAGCATTTGAATTCTTTTAATAGTTTTATTTAAAGAATATTCCCGTTTAAATTTAGATCCATTCATTGATCTGTCAGAAGGTAATGAATTAAATATTTTATAATCAATCAAGAAATATGTCATTAAATTT